AACTATATATATTATAATGTATCAATATACATATAATCCCTTAAGTAATTTGAACAATTCAAATTCTTCCAAAAAATTTGATCATCGTTTTACTCGTTATGAGCTAGCAAGGGGACCTAATGGACCTACAGATCCGAAGCTCCAACGATGCAAGATTAATCGGTCAAACTCATTGACCAAGTTAATCTAGATTCGTTAACTACGGGTCATTCCACTAAAGACCCGCAGTTGCACTCTTCTCACTGCAGAATGTTTTCGTGTCCATGGATATACGACCATTAATGACGAGTCAATCATTCACGAGTGTTCGTAACTCAAGTTGGGTCAAATTACCGTTTTACCCCTGAGTTACATCTTACTCCTTAAACACCACTGCTCCTCTAATGAACAACCCGGTTATGATCCAACCAAAAACCGGAAGCCCCTCTCGACCAATGAGAGGGTGGGATCCCTTGTTCAAGTCTCGGAGTCAGCATTTAAGAGAACACTCACCTACTTCCCTAAAGTCGGGGAGGAGTGAATTCCATCTTGTGAAGTTGTTTTCCCAGCTCCCCATTCGATCTCGTCCCCAAAATGGTAGGAATGTTGAGTCGGCGACTCGGGCCACTCTCACCCATACAGATCAAAGAACGAGCCCTCACGGGCAAGAGTTAATAACTCACTCAGGATTGAGAATGAGTTGCCTGGTCATCCTAAGAAATGGCAATCTATTAGTTAACGGTGTTACATCTAAAGATTGCCTATTTCGCGGTCCGGTCTTATACAAACTCATTGTACAGGATCCCCCACTCGCATGTCTCCACATGAACGACCTGGATCGAGTCGTCTATAACCTTTACAGAGTGGGCCGTATCCATAGTGTTGCTAGGATAAGGTACTCAACCTTATCCATATACTATAGACCCTTTAGGTTATTCACGGGATATTATCCATTCATATATCAGGGGTATATCAAATATATACCTCGTATATCAACTATATACCCAGTATATATACTGTCCCGATTACATCATAAATAACCTTGGATGTTTAGTTTATTGGATTTTGGACAATGCAAAGCTATGATTCAACAACAAATTTATTGAATAAAACTTTATTAAATAGACATTTGTTTTTACAAAATACAAACTACGAGTTTAGGGCAACACACCCAACAAACTCCCACTTGAACTAAACTCGAGTGGGGTGTACATTATCATAAAGCAAAGGGAAAATACAATAAACTAGGGCATACATTATACCCAA